TCCGGCTGGACACTTCCTGACAAGGCCGCGCCCCGTGGCCCCGGGAAGGGATTGCACTCAGGCCGATTGCTCAACCTCTGCCTGGAGGCGATGAAGAAACGGCCCCCACGGGGACGCGCGACCAGGCGGCTCTTGGGAAAACCCCAGTTGAGCTTCCAAAACCTCTTTTCTGAAGCTCAGAGCCACACCGCCGTGTTCATGTAACTGTTTCCCATCGGGCCCTTTGAGGACCAACGAGAACAGAGACACAGGCCCGGGGAGCATGGGGGGGGGGCGGGGTGTCTCCAGGGCCCCCAGCACCCTGGGGACACGGGGATCCCTCCCCCAGGGCACCCCATGAAGCCAGAGAGCAGGTTCCCAGGGCAGGACTCAGGCGTCCTAGGGACCCTTCGCTAACTTGCCCTTAGTCAAAGATACAAAAAAACTCCAAGTATATGTAAATGTTGTAAACACACGTCTTATCATTTTATTTTTAAAAAAATGTTTTTATTGATGTCAGAGAGGAAGGGAGAGGGAGGGAGATAAACATCCGTGATGAGAGAGAATCATGGATCGGCTGCCTCCTGCACGCCCCCCACTGAGGATCGAGACTGTAACCCGGGCACGTGCCCTGACCGGGAATCGAACCCGGGACCCTTCGGTCCGCAGGCCGACGCTCTATCCACTGAGATTGGTATTTAAGGATACGGAGGGACCCAGATACATTTTAGTGCAGACGGAGTCACATATGTATTTGAGATGTAAAGGGAGACACAGGGGGTCAGCGCTATACAGACTTCATTCACATAAAGTGAGGAGACAGGCAACCCAAGCCTGTGCTGTGTGCGGGGCCCGTGGCCTGGTCTGAAGGGCCGAGGGAGGCAGCCATGGAAGGGTCAATGGGGAAATGAGATCATGTTCGAGTTACTCTCACTGCCCTCAGGTCTAACAATGAAGCTGTAATTAACATTTTTTTTAGGAGCCGGGTCGGCGTGGCTCAGGGGCTGAGCATCGACCTATGAACCAGGAGGTCAGGGTTCGATTCTGGTCAAGGGCACAGGCCCGGGTTGACCCCAGTGTGGGGCGCAGGAGGCAGCCGATCCGTGGTTCTCTCCATCAGTGATGTTTCTCCCTCCCCATCTCCCTTCCTCCCTGAAATCACTAAAATCATTAAAAACTAAAACGTACCCACACACACAGGCAGGTCAGTGTCAGGCCAGCAGGGGCTC